ACCATACCTCTTGAGGAGTCTTTAAGTCAATTGCAGTTGATGGAGATCTATTAACCAGATAGCTAGCAGTGTTTACTGCTTCAGCCCAGAATTGCTTAGACAAGCCAGCAAATATGCGCATATACCTAGCACGCGCCATGAGGGTTTGATTCATTCGCTCTGCAACTCCATTTTGCTGTGGTGTGTGTCGTACAGTGCGGTGCCTCACTATACCTTCTTTCTTGCAGAAATCATCAAATGGAGCGTTGCAGAACTCCAACCCATTATCAGTTCTTAGAGTCTTGACCTGTTTACCCGTCCGTTTTTCAACCATGGTCTTCCACTCCTTGAACTTCCCAAACACCTCATCTTTAGTCTTTAGAAAGTACAACCAGACTTTTCTCGAATAATCATCTATGAAAGTGACAAAGTAAGAACACCCGCCCTGCGATTTCACCGGAGAGGGACCCCATAGATCTGAATGAACATACTCCAGAATTTGTTTTGAAGTGTGATGACCGGTACTAAACTTCACCCTGCGTTGCTTCCCTTTGACACAAGCCTCACAGAATTGAATTTTACCTATCACATCTCCACCAAATAAACCCTGCTTGCTCAACACAGACAACCCTAACTCACTCATGTGACCTAATCGCCGGTGCCACAAATTTGTCCTATCATCATGTTTATCCAAGGACTGAGATACCGCCGCCGTTCCCATCACTGAACTGCCCTGTAGAAAATAAATTCCATGCTGCAGTTTTCCCTTCATCATTACCAGCGCACCTTTCAGGACTTTCACCCACTCACCTTCACCATGATATTTTAAACCATTTTTGGCTAAGGTCCCAAGAGAAATCAAATTCTTTCTGAGTTCAGGAACATACCAACAGTCAAATTTCCTGACAGTACCGTCATGCAATTTTATCTGCACTACCCCGCTCCCTTTTATGGCTAGAACCCCATCATCACCTAACTTCACCGTTCCATTCCACTCCTTAAAAGAAGTGAGTAGATCACGAGAGAACGTCATATGGTGAGAAGCACCGATATCCATAATCCAGGAATCAGCAGTACTAGCACTACACGCTGTCAGAACTTCACCAAAGTCCCCATCATCAGAACTGTCTTGTACCACAGCAGCACTGCTGCCACTGTTACTAGAATCAACTTTTGTATTACCCTTCTTTTGTGGACAATCCCTTTTAACGTGCCCTTTCTCCTTGCAAAGATAACACTTAACTTTGCTAGAGGATTTTGATTTTGAACGCGACCTCCCATTCCCGTTACACCTCTCATGTGGTCTTCCCCTACCTGCAAACAGACCTGAACCAGAACCCTCTTCCAGAGAAACCTTTCTTTTCAATTCTTTGGACATAAGGGCATCTTTCACATCATTAACAGAAATTGTAGTTCTACCATATAGCATAGTATCTACAAAATTCTCATATGAACCAGGTAGTGAACACAATAAAATTAGGGCTTGGTCTTCATCATCTACTTTAACCTCAACTCCTTGAAGATCAAGAATGATACGGTTAAAGGTATCAAGATGATCCTTTACCTGAGTACTTTCGGACATCCGGAGGGTGTAAAGACGTTGCTTCTGATATAGCCTGTTCGTGAGGGAGTTGTTTTGGTACTTCTCACACAGTTTATTCCATAACCCAAAAGCCGTTGTCTGATCTACAACCTCCCGTAACACCTAATCAGTAACTGACAGCAAGATCGCGGAATGAGCCCTTGCCAAAATCTCTTTATTTACCTCCTCCTTTGTGTCTTTAGGAAACTTGTCTTCTCCCTCCAACGCAGCCGCACATCCTTGTTGAACCAGAAGTGCCCTCATCTTGACCTTCCAGAGCGTGAAGTCATTCGACCCATTAAACTTCTCCAGATCAAATTTATACGAGGACATTTTCAATCAATGGGATATGGCTCTGATACCACTTGTTATGAGAAAACGAGAAAGAAAGCAAATAAAGAACACAGAGGTTTTACGTGGTTCGGTGACGGTGTGTCAACCTACGTCCACGGGCAGGAACCGGAGAGATTTTATTATACTGATTCAGAGATTTACAATATGTCATCCGACTAAGAACCATAGTTGTCTATTTATAAGCACCCCAAAACACCCTAAACCCTAAGTCCATTTGTTATTAATTAGGATAAGCCCAAAAGGAACCCTGCCAATTGAAACAACCCTTTCGCTTTGGTTTAGGGTCGGGTAGACCGCTAAATCCAAGTCACGTTTCAATATTATTGATGTACAATTTTCATGAAACCTGAATCCTTAATAGGGTTGAAATATTGTATGAAAAGCAACCTTTCGCGACTCAAAATACATATAAAATCGTTTTTATTTTGCAAACACTACATGAAAAAATTATTTTTGTAATAAATTTTTTTTGTCTCTAAATCTATTTTTTTCGTTACTAATGACATTACGAATGAAATTTCGTTAGCTATGTGATCTTTAGGGACAAAATTCCGTTACAAATATATTAATTTTTTGTAGTGAAAATTATGTTTTCTCTCTATTTTCCTACATCCTATACAATAGTTCCAAAGTAGGTGCTCATTGGATTTACTACAACCTATTCACAATTGGGTGTTTCCTCTTAATATGTTTTGCTTTGTCGACCAAGAAAATATTGATTTCATTTATACTGAATTTAATTAGGGACAAAGTTTTGACGGATATCATAGTCAATCCAACATTTTTTTTTTCCTAAGTCAATTAATGTCGGATTTTTTTTTTTTTTAAAGCTTTTAGGGGTGTTTGGCAAATAGTTTTTTGAAGAGCTTTTAGCTTATTGAATAGCTTTTAGCTGTTTGACCAGTCAAAAAGCTAATTTAGGTATTTGGTAAATTAGCTTTTTGGACCCAAAAAGCTAATTTCTGAAAAGCTAACTTACCCAGCGTTTTGAAATAATTTTTTTTGTAATTTTTTTTTTATTCCTTATATGCCCTTAAAAATTTATTATAAATTTTACACAAATAAATATATTTTGATTATTTATTAATTATATTAAAATATTTTATTATATTATAGTTTTACTTTTATAAATTTAAAATAATTAATTTTTATATAAAAATTATTTTAATTGTAAAATATATAAATTTATTAAAATCAACATAAAATAGGAAATATAAATATTAATAATTTATTTTTTTATTAAAATTACATTATATAAATTTATACTAAAAATAAATTAAGTTTATTGAAAATTATAAATATAATGAACTAATCGATAACTAACATAATAAATATATACACGAAAAATTTATTATTTTATATTTTACATCATTTTTAATAAAAAAAAACTATTTATATATTTTAAATAAAAATATATTATTTTTTAAATCTAACTGTAATAAAAATAAATACTTTTATAACACTTTTACAATTTTCAATAACTAATAACAAAAAATTTTAAACATTCTAAACTCAAAAAAACATAATTGAATATATTAGAAATAAGAATAAAATAAAAATGTCCTCAATTGTCATTGTACGTATAAACAGCTAATATCAAACAGTTGTTTTACCAAACATTTTAATACAAACAACTAATCGAATCAGCTAGTCAAACCAACTAATTGAATCAGCTAACAGCTATCAGCTAATTGAATCAGCTAACAGCTATCAACTAATTGCCAATCACGCCATTAATTTTGATTCTCCTAAAATAATAAAAAACACTATGTTTAAACCTTTTTTAGATAGCAAGAAATGCAAAGAGAATTCTATCCATGGAATTTGGGGAATTCAGTAATATTGAACTCACAAATACATTTGATGGGAAAAACACAATCCACACTTACAAGAATATGATAAATGAAAGTGAATAATTTGTGTAAATAGGAAAAGAAATGGTAACTTTATTTTATTTTTTTTATTTTGAAAAATCCTTCAAGACAAAACAAAAAATTAACCACAAGTTGACATTCAAACAAAAGAAGATACTGATACTACACTGTAATAAGAACAACCAACAATTGATCAACCAACAAATACCATAAATTCTTATAAGAACAAAGAACAAGAAGACAATCTCGACAACTTTTACAACAATGTATAATTTTCTAGTGAAGCTTCAGAGATCAAACCGGAAATATCATTGTTGGATTGGAAGAACAACGTGCACGAACAGACTTTTGAAAATTTTAATTTTGTAAAACTAATAATGTGGCAAGAATTGCTTTTTTTTTTTTTTTAATTTTATTTTTCCATTTCTTGTGGATGATTTTGATCGATTTAATTAATCTCCAATTGTGATAACTTTTCCTAAATATTGATTCAAGTGAATTATTTACAAAATCTAGATATATTATCCAAATAAAAAGTGAGCCCAATCCAACAATATTTAATAGCATCAATAATGTTGAATGATAGATGTTGAGGAATTTCATATAAATGATCCATCAACCAAGTATTTTCTATACAATTTTGAAAATCCTAAAGATAGACTATTCTTTAGAAAAATACTATAAAAAATAATTTGAAGAAGGTACTTAATAGATTTTTTTTTTTTTTTTTTAATTTCTTTACAGAGGTTAAAACATTGAAAACAAAACTATCAAGGGTATATATATATAATATAAAATATAAAACAAAAGAATTATTTTTTAATTTTTTTTATAGTATAATGCTCAACCTGAAAACAATAGTCTCATTTTACTATTTTCGTCAATCTCAAAACAATAGTCTCATTTTTATATTTTTCGTAATTAGGTCTCTAACTTTTTACAAAACTATCTCAATTTTTTCACAATAATTAAAAACACTTTTACATTCACTTAATTCTTGTGCCTAACACATGTCCCTAAAAAATTAGTTTTACATTAGAATATCACATTAATATTTGTTTATATCGTACAACTATTTCAATTCAAAATTTTTACTATTCAAATTTCAACTCAAAATTAAAGTCACACCCCATGATTTCTTTCAGCATAATAGATATTAACAAGAAAAACAAATCAACAAAAAGACAAAAAAAAAAAAAAAAAAAAAAACAAAAAAAAAAACACAAATTTAGGGGACATTCATCACTTACATTTCCACCTACTCTTTTCCTATAATTGATTTAAGCACTGTTCTTGTTCTTGCCAATATATATAAACATACGTATATATATATAATCGAGTGGGGCCCATAATTTATTAATAAATAAATAAATTAATTAATAGCACTCGGGGGTGAGGTGGTGATCTCTCTGCGGGTCGCGGCAGTAATCGTAGATCATGTACTTGCTCTGGGCGTCTGTCAGCGCCGCCTCTTGCTGGCGGCTCAGCCCTCCGGCGGCGGCGGCGCGGCCGATCTTGAAGGAGTTGTACTTGGCAACGAAGGGTTGGTAGGAATAGTCGGCCTTGTAACGGCCGTGGTCGGTGGCCCAGGAGGAGGCGTCCCAGATCGATCCGTACACCCACATGGGCCGCGCCGCCGCCGGAAAAGTCTCCTCGCTCTTCTTTGGATACTTTCTTATGGGCACGCCGTCCACCAAAAATCTACAAAATTATATAATAATAATAATAATAATAATAATAGGCTACATATATTATGTTGATACGATCAAATCAGCATAATGTCATATGGATGACTAATATATATATATATAATATTTTATCCGTCATTTAATAAAGTATTTATTTGTCTTTTGTATCATTATATTTAATGTTAAAAATATATTTTTTATATTTATATATATATTTTTTATAAATATTATTATATTAATATTATAAGAAACTAATAAAAATATTTTTATCGTTTTCCTTTAATTTATAATACACAGTTACATGACAGAGAATGTATAATATATGTTATATTATAAATATGATGTAATATGTATAAATATAAATTGATCAACTCTATAACATATATTGATCCGATCAAATTCGTACTAATAATAATAATAGTAATAATAATAATAATAATAATAATAATAATAATAATGTGAGATTGATAATCGAATCTATGGATGTATGATTGGATTTTGGACAAACACACAACGAGGAAAAGCGAAGCTGAATTATTCGCATGGGGCGTGGGGCACCTACGCACGAGGAGGACCCACAGCTCCGGGACTAAATTTTCTTGGGGGATCCCGGGACCTTATGTCAGTAAGTGCTATGCATATAGGCATAGAAGCTGATTTTTTTTTTTTTTTTTTAAAAAAATATGTATAGTTTATGGATTAAATAATTAAGGGATAAATATGTTCATCATTTTAAAAATTAAAATAAAATATTTATAAAGTAATTTATATTTGACCTGTAATTGTTACTAAAGTAGCAATTAAATTTTTTTACAAAATTAAACTAATAATTAATTGTGATTTGAAATTCAAATTTTTGCATGATTCTTAATAGATATAACATCCAAATATTATTTAAAATAAAAATAAAAATAATATTTTATTTTAAATCAATTTCAAATCGCACCTAAATAATATATTAAATATCTATGTTATGAAATATTTGCTAAATGAAGCAACTTGTGTCGTTTAAGTAAGACACAAAATAGATAAATAGTAGAAACTCGCAAATAATGGTTAATTATTGAATTAATTAATGTTATTAAGCAGAATTGACACCGTGTTTTGTCAATATCCTTAAAATTAATATACTTTTTTTTTTATCAAAATTATTGGTTAGTCGGTACGTAAAACACTAATAATATGTGTCACTTCTTCTTTACTAATTGATATATAAATATATATATATTTATTTATTTATTGAGATATTATGAATTGCACCCCTCACGCACAAAATAATTCAGCACGAAATAGAAATTATATAATAATAATAATAATAATAATAATAATAATAATCAATATATTAAAGTAAAAATATTTTATTTGTCTCGTAACAATTAACACATTTTTTTTGGGACAAAATTTATTAAATTAAAACATATTTAATAAATATAAATCAATTTAATAAGGTGTAACATCATTAGAATAATTCAAAACTCATTTATTTCTATATCTCTCCTAAAAAAAAATAAATATATTTTTTTATACATTTAAAACTTCACATCTTTTATAAATTTAGCTTATGTTAATTACAAATATAAAAAAATTTATTATCTACAAAATGATATCAATATTGCATATATTTTTTTTATTGTAATATAATATTTAAAATATTTAAATACATATTCTAATTCTTTTAATAGTATACTATATTAAATTTATTTTAAAACTATTAATATTATTAATTATATAAAATAAAATAAAATAGTATCATTATTCACTATTATTAACTAATTAAACATCATTATCTTAAATATTGTATCACTAATAAAAAATATCAATTATATCAGAGATGGTACTATTTAATTATTCGTGTGTATCATAGGAATAAATAAAAAGTATCGAAGTTAGATATGTACGTGCATAATTATTAGCAATAGTGTATAATAAGAGGAGACAAATTAAATATTGGGTATGTAAGAAATTAAGGGTTTGTCTAGATAATGAGTTTTTGGAAATTTGAAAGTTTGAAAAAAAGTAAAAATTAGTATTTAATTCGATATTTTGTGAGAGAAAAAATTGTATTTGATGTGATATTTTTTTGAAAAATAAATAATTTCAAATGAATGAAACTGTATTATATAAACAGAGCCGTGTTTTAAGATAATTGATTAATAAAAAAAAACTCACATGATTTCAGATGGATTCCAAATAATGGCGTAGTGATGAAAAGCTTTTGTAGGATCGAACCAGAGATGGAATTTCATCTCTCTCCCGATAATATGGCCATCGCCGCTCCCTCTTATGTAAACATTTGTCTGAAGAACATACGGCTTGTCCTGAGTCGTCCCGAGGAACTCGATGTCGATCTCGTCGTGGTTCCCGGGACGGGCTTCGTTGTTCGAAAGCTGCATATATAATTTATTAGTCAATCCGTCAAGTATTAGTAAAATTATTTATAATTTACTTGTAATTTGAAAAGTCTGCACCATATTCTTTTATAATACTTCGGTAAAGTTATTAATGTTCAAATAAGATAGGTAAAGAGTAAATTAAAATAAAGTATTATAAGAAATTTATTAAAAAATTTGATTAAAAAAAATAGTAGAATAAATAGAAAAAGTAATGACAAATTAATTATTATTTTTTAAAATACATAATAAAATTGTTTAATATAAATAAATTGTCCATAATACATATTTTTTAAAAGAACATTAGACAGTCTTGTGTAAAGAATGAATATGCATAGTGAAGATTTTTTCCAACTTTTTTTTTTTTTTTTTTTATCGGATTTCTTACATAAAGTGATGTAATGACTCCGGCAGTGTAACCCGACTGAAGTTTTATGTTAGCTCCGAAATAACCAGAGGAGTATGACCTCAGTGATTTAAATCCACTCCCTGCAACTCATCAACAATTCCAAAAAAAATAAATAAATAATACATCAAATATATAAAATAAATCAAATTAAATTAAAAATAAATAATTATACTATTATATACCAGAGGTTCTGTCGAGCCAAATGGTGAGAGTGCCAGAGTCATCTAGGGTTTGGTGGGAAGATCCCCAAAGGTTTCTGAAACCCTGGTTGAAGGCTATGGTTGGAATTCTGGAACCAATTTGGGCATCGATTAAGATGATGCTGCTGCTGCAAACAAAGATGACAATATTGGAAACAAGAACAGCCATAGCCATGTCTGTACTGAATTGAAGCTTACAGACAACAGTCGACAATAATTAATTTGCAATTGTACGTATTTTATTTTGTTTTATTACATGATCTTAATTCGAATGTATGGTGTTGTGTGAGTATAAATAGAAAGATTTTGAGGCCCCACTTGGAGGAAAATTTGGAGGGGAGGACGATGACGATGACGATGACGATGATGACGACTAAAATTAAACAGGCTTAGCTTAATTGTGACACACACTAAAGGATAAAACCATATACACATCTTCTATTTTTTCTTTCTTCGACTTTATTTGTTCAATAATTTTTTCTTACACATTTCTCTGAAAAAAATTAATATTTCCTCGTCGGCTAATTTGTCTCATTTAGTTCAGGCACAGAGTTTTAGGTATTGTATAATTAGTAAGTAATTAAGAATTGTATCGATATGATTTAATAAAAATAGTGATTAAAATAAAAATTGTAAATTGTAAATTTTAAAATGTGATTAAAGTGTATAATTATATTTACGAAAAACGAAAAGAATAAATTATATAAAACGGACGGAAATAGAAAGAATGGATAAATTAACATTACATAAATTTATTATTTTTATATTTCCTACATAATTCTCTATACCTCACATCAAAAAATTTATTTTCCAAAAATCTCACAAAATAAACACACTTCGTGTTCGATCGGTTCTTGAGACTTACTGTACAAACTCTTGGTAGCTTTGGATGACAATGTCGACTCGACATTTATGTGCTTTTTGATATAAGTAAATATGATTGTCATGTTATTTTGGAGGGAACAACTATTGTCTAATTTTGTCGACTATCCTTTTTACTTAGTTTTATTTTTAAATTTTTCTTTTTGAGTTCTCGAATTTAAACAAAATTTGTATGATTCATCCAAAATAGTTAAATGAGTCAAAACTTTTTTCTTTTCAAATGATCATTTTTGAATTAAAATATATTATTATTATTTTTTTTATAAAAATTATATCAAATTATATTTATTTAAATTAAATAAAAGCTCAAAATCAAAACATAAAGCAAGCAAAACCCGACTTTTGAGTTGGCAGTCATTATTAATAAGAGATAGGGCAGAGTGGCCATTGTGTTGGGGAGTTGTGTTCATATTCCTATCCATATGTATTAAGTATCTGTAAAAAAAATTTCACCATATATAATTATAATTATTGCTTCCATCACAAATTTGTTTTCATTTTTTTAAAAAAAAAAATACAAGAAAAATGAGAACAAATTTCAACGATGGAGGTATTAGATTTTTATAATAATATAAAATTAAAATATTAATAAAAAGAATTTTTTTGATAATATATAAAAATAATAATATAATACTCTCTATGTCTTATATTTATCTATGTATTTATTTTTTGTATAGATACTACAAATATTATACTAAAAACTAAATTAATTTAAAAAATACATATACAATAAGAATTAAAAACTTTATTAGTAAAAAAATACAATAAATAATTTAAAAAAATACGAGGAATAATGATAATAAATTATATTTGCAAATAAAATATGAACAAAATACGATAAATTTTAATATGAAAAACCTTTTAAAATAGAGAAAAAATCACGTATTAGCAAGGAAAAAAATTTTACTATAATCAAATTGTATATAAAAATTCATCAAGAATGCGTGGAAACCCGGCTCAATTTCCACTATATTAACCAACGAAAATCAGAAACTTAAAAAAAAAAAAACAAATTAAGATTAACAAAACGAACAAAAAAAAATCTGCCACATTCTGTAAAATTCTAGTCGAACTATTGTGCTCCATCTTTAAGAAAAATAAAAATAAAAAATAAAAATCACATTATGTAAAATTCTTATTTTGACTCCATCTTTCCCTCTTCACATACTCTGCTTCCAAAAAGACCTATCTTATTAAGTTCAGCCGGAGATTTATTCAGTAGCCACTTTCGGATAGTGGTTGCGAGTTTCTACATCATAAAAAAAAAAAAAAAAAAAAGAAGACCTCACTTGCCTAACTTTTGAGGCATCCGCCGAGGAAGTATAGCTCAAATAGTTGACCTCTTCATTTTAAAAAAAAATTCAAATTAAATAATTATTTTGATCTTTTGATAATATCCTAAAAACTAATGTTATATTTAAAATATATATTAATATTTATTAATATTTCATCAAATAACTATTAATTTTTTTTAAAAAAAATATTATTCAAAATTCAATTCTCAACCCACAAACAAAAACATCTTAGTCTATACATTTACACACATATCATATTATATATATATATATATAGATATATCAATGCAAGAAAAATATCATTTTTGTAACGAAGGTTTTTCGTTCTTAAATTCATTTTTTTTCGTTACTAATAATATTATAGACGAAATTAAGGATGAAACTACTTTAGCTACGTGAACTTTAAGGGTGTAATTCTTTTACAAATATACTATTATCTCCGTCCCTTGTCAATTTATCCATTTACAATTTTCATGTTAATATTTGAATACTATTAATTATTATATCAAAACATAATACAAATCAAGAAAAAACGACAAAAATACTTATGTTGGTGTCTTATAATACTAATGTAATGATATTTGTACAAAAAAATTATACAAATATAAAAATATTGTTAATAATAAAAACAATGACGCCAAATGCAAATGGATAGATTGACGGTAGACGAAGGTGGTATTTTTTTTTGTAGTGATGGATATAAATCAATTAACTTCTATTACTCATTCCGTCCCGTATTTATTTATCCGTGTTAATATTTAAATATTAATTATTATATAAAAAAGAATTACAAATTAAGAAAAAATTGCAAAAATACTTTTATAAGCGTCTTATAATACTAATAGGAGGATATTTGTACAAAAAAATATATAAATATAAGGATATTTTTAATGTTAAGTACAATGACACAAAAGGTAAATGTAACCCGTAGAGGCGGACAGATTGAGTAATATTTTATTGGTTAGTGAAGGTGTGTAAATGATTTGACATTTTTACCCATGACTTTATGTATAAAATAGTTATATGTGTAATAGTATCTTTATAATATATGTAAAATGTAAACATATTTTGCATTAATATATATATGATTATTTTTTCTAAAATAGAAAAACAATACCCTTTATTGGGACATACGAAAATGATAAATATGGGACGGAATATATATATATATATTTGTATTAAAAAAAAAGATATATTATTTTAATAAAATGAGTAAAACGTAATGTGAGATATTATAAAAATTTTATTAAAAATAATAGAAAATAATGAGTTCTAATTAAACAGATAATATTGTACTATAAATAGATTAAAAAAAAAATGACATAATTCTTCCGAATGTTCCAAAGTTTTTTTCGCCTCAAATATTTTCTTAAATTTTTATGAATTTTCTATAATATCTTATTTATATCTTTCTCCTAAATGCAAAAATATCTTTATATACATTTAAAAAAAAATAAAAAATCTTATAAACTAATTCATATGAATGATGTATAATTCTCTTTATTTATATTACATAATTTTTTTTTTTTTTAGATACTATTAAATTGTCATTAATTCATGTTGGATATGCATTATTAAATATAGTTTTAAAACATTAAAAAAAGAAAAAGACATTCTAAATTAATTTTTAATCAAATAGATATTGTACTAGAATACAATTTACAATAATAAAAAATAATATCTAAACCAAACCACAACTACAACTCCAACTTACAACTCATGTAGTTCAATGATCTTTCTTATTTATTTATTTATTTATTTATTGCAATATATGTGATCACATAATTCTCTCTCTCTCTATATATAACTATATTATTCGAGATTAAAATAAAAAAATTGATATTATAAGAGGTGATCGAAAATTTTCAGATGTTAGAATACTCTTGATTAGGTTTGCCGACAGGAAACTTATTTTTTGAACCTTCAAAAATTGATCATTATCGTGCGGCGATTAAATATATATACTTAATTGACCTAACATAAAATATATATAATTAATATAATATATATATATTCATCATCGAATCTTAGGGTTTGTTTGATTTTGGCTTGAATTTAATTTTTTTTTTTTTTTAGTATTGATTTTAATAGTATTTTTTTTTTTAATGGAGTGGGAATCCGCCGTCGTTATCCGAAGATGCGCACTAGGTAAAACCCCCGGCCGAACCTAATACCCTGCAAATGAGGCCCGATGGGAAAGTCACACTAGGCGAAGCATGTGTGACAGGTGACCTGAGGCGTCGGGGGTTTGATTATCCCAATATGGCTTCAGTTAGGAATTGATTGTCTCAATCAACACATAAAAATATTACAGATAATATATGAAAATAGAACAGACAAAACATGTTGAATAAAGTATTAATATGTGCTATCAATTATATTTTATATGTATTTTGTTAGTAAACTGTATGTGCTAAGATCAATTGTAGTTATTGTTGTATGAATTACTATTATATACGGTTAGTTTGCGCGTTGTATTTAAAGTATATAAATATATACATTGTGCTGTTAAAATAATATATTGTGTTCTATAATATATATTATTGTACTATTTACACAGTGCTGATATTTATATTTAATCAGCACCGTAACCAGTGTCTTTCAATATGTATTGTGAATGAAAAAACCTTTTGTTATTGTTGGCATATGGACAAATATGTTTTCTTTCATGCTGCAACAACTTATTCCATTTTTATCATACAGAGGTTGCAGAGAGTCGGTTACTACAATCATGTTCTGAGCTACTCTGTTGTAGGGTCGTTGACAGTACGTGTTTGTGACAACGTAAACCTGTTGAAGTATTTTCCTAGGTTATCAATGATAGAAGTGCGTGCAGAAGGAGCTGTGGTTGTTCGTATTCTATAATCAGTATTGATTAATAAAATATCTCTTGAATTGGTATCTCCGAATGTAGATTGGGCGATAATCGAACTGTCTTATGTGTTGTTTTGTGTTCTGCTTTATTATTTGTTGTTGTTGGGGACTCGGTTTGCGGATAAATAATTAATGATTGTGTTTCCCTTAGGTGAAACGGTCATTCTGCATCGTTGTTACATCGTTGTTTTAACTGTGAACTTTTCATGC